TATATATATATATATATATATATATATATATATATATATATATATATATATATATATATATATATATATATATATATATATATATATATATATATATATATATATATATATATATATATATATATATATATATATATATGATCTTACCTACTAACTAGAACTTGAAGTGGGACAGAGACTTTGTCTGTAATACTGAGTTTCAAAGATGAGGTGAGGGTGTACCTGCAAGACACTTCGATGCTAGAGTAAGAATCAGGAAAAGGGAAGACAAGTACAAAGTGAGTATGTCTTAGGATGATTTTAGAATATCTGACCCTCTCAAATGAGAGAGTTTTATAATCCCCTTAGCGCTTTGCCATTAGTCCCTATTTTTGGGGCGAGATATTGCTCCCCAAGAATAGGTAACTGCCTGAAACTATCCGTTGAGACGGAAAGAGGTGCTCGAAACTAGCCAATTCTGCGGGTAAGGACGTGGTCGCAGGCACGTGCGTCGTGACTGTTTCTAGATGGTGGAACCGTGTGTGACGAGAATAAATGTGACGAATGACAATTGATCCTGGGGGTCAGCTGGTCAGCCTTCCTCAGCATTGGGCCAGTCCGGTACAGAAGCCCCCCAAGTTGTTGCTCTGAGCGTAAGAGTGATGACTTAAGGGCAGCTCGCGGTCCAGAGGAAGAGCAGGCGCAATCAAAGTCTGCTACTGAGACGAAGTCATTTTGTGGTGCTTGAGGGCACCTGCGCCTGGGGAACCTGAACCATTGTTCTGCGTGCCCGACGAGCAGGGAGCCCAAAAGTTGATGAAACTTGAAGGAATGGAGTGCCACGTGTGCATTGAGCCATGTGCCGTATTTAATGTGTGATGATGGCTATGCTAGGGTCATGATGATGCCCCTACGCCGCGCGTGCTCGTGCACGTGCCTCTGATCTGTTTATAAATAGATAGGGGTAGCGTTCATTTTTACTTTTCACTTTTTTCTCTTCTCTTGCTGCTTGTCCTCGCTTCCATCATCCGCCACCTCACGAGCAACGATCAGACTTCGTCGACCATCTTTTCTTCCCTTTATCCTTGTAAGTTTCTTTCACCCTTTCTATTTTAAGTGTTTCAATCCCTGTTTTGCTTATATTGCATATGGTTAGGATGAAATTGGGTAGAGTGGGGGTGGTTTCTGGAGATTGGTGGTGGTTGGCGGTGGTTAGGCCTTTTTCTGCCGCCGACACCATCGTTGGAGCAGTAGGAACTTAGGATTTTTTATCGATTCTGACACCGTCGCAACAACGAGCGGGCTTGTTTCCGGTGGAGCTTTTGTGTTTCCGGTGTACTCGTGAGTTTTCTGGTGGATCTCTAATGGAATTTTGGGTAACGCTCCGAGGAGGATCTCCTCGTGTGGGTTTGAGGGATTACCATGTGTTCTTTTTACACCCTTTCTACGCTGTGTAAGTAAAGGCTTAGGTCGGGGACGTTGTCCTCGGGCCTTCGAACGCCCTTTCACTTGACTAATGGTGGAAGGGTGGATTTGAATTTATCATCAAATTCACTTCTGTCATCTGCTTTTCAGGTAAAGGAGATGTATCGCGATCCCGAGGATGAAGTTATGAGAGAATTATCTGAGGAGAGCTCTTCGGAGGATATCGGTGCTGATGAAAATTTCACTCCCCGGAATGCTGGCGAAACATCCGCTCCTAGTAGTTCTGAGGGAGAGTAGGTTGCTGTTGAGCCTCGAGAGCATATCTCACTCTTTACTTTTTAGACTCAGGATGCCTTCACAACGGTGGGGGTCGAGGGATACTAGAGGGTCCACTTTCCTTAGGCGAATGACCAAATATGCTCGGCCTACGGGGAGAGGTTCCCCATGTACGAGTTTGTCTTCAAGGAGATCGGGTTGAGGCTACCCTTCACAGACTTTCAAATGGCAGTTTTTGGACACCTAGATTTGGCGCTCTTCCAACTGCACCCAAACTCGATTGCCTTCATCCGAGCATTCAAGATAACAAGTGAATTTTTGAAGATTGAAGCTACTCTCCCCCTCTTCTTCACCGTCTTCCATCTCCAACTCAGGTTGCTGGAGGCAGTTCAGATGGGTCTCCCTGAAGCAAGGGAGGAAATTATTCAAGCCTTTCTCCGAGTCCATCAAGATGTTTAAGGAGATGTTTTACATAGTTGAGCCCATGTCGGAGAGGGCCAAAGACTTCTCATTCGTTTGGGAGGTTTCGATAGACGAGAGCGAGGAGCCCCTCGTCGACGAGCAGAGCAAGGTAAAGGGGCAGAGGTTGCTGAAGTTCCCCTTCTGCTAGAGCGGGGACCATTTTACTTGTGGGGGGCTATAATAGCACTTTATTGTCGGGGGCTATTATAGGGGACAGAGAATGTAATTTTGATAGCACTTTGTAAAAAAATGTTATTATTAAACTTCACTAAGATAGCGTTTTTTTTTAAAAACGCTATTAAACTTCACTAAGATAGCGCTTTTTTTTAAAAAAAGCTATTAAACTTCACTAAGATAAGAGAACAGAGAATGTGATTTTGATAGCACTTTGTAAAAAAAATGCTATTATTAAACTTCAATAAGATAGCGTTTTTTTTAAAAACGCTATTAAATTTGACTAAGATAGCGTTTTTTTTTAAAACGCTATTATACTTTACTAAAATAGGGGACTGTTCATTTTTACGAAGAATATTCTAAAATATTTTTTCCCCTTGCTCCCAAATCCCGCCGCCAACATTTCATTTCCTCTCCTTCACTCGCAATCGGAACCCTCTTCTTCACAAAATAGAAAAGACCCTTCACCCTTGGCCATCACCATCTTCTTCATCCATTTTGGTCGCCGACCCTTTCCTCTCATTTTTTTGCCGTCAAACTATCCCCCACAATTGTCATCTTCAAGCTTCTCCTTCATCATTCTTTTCACCATCACCAACCCATATCTCCGAACCAGAAAATCCTTCAACCACACTCCTTCAGCTCGCCATTGATACCCTCATTTTCCTGATCTGAAACGGCGGCGTCATCGCTCTCGAGTCCACTTCCAACATCAAGCACCGGTTTCGATGATAATAGCTTTGTGATAACGGCGACAGATGAGTAACAGCAACTTGTGGCTTCGATGATGATGATGATTCGCAACATTGGAGGTGGGAAGGGGAAATTTAGGGATTTCATATCCACTTTTAGTTCGTCTGGTGGTCGGAAAACCTCTAGTGATTCTCGAGGTGGATCATCCAAAACGACACTGTTTTTTAGTTTTGTTGTTGTTGAGGTTGAATTAGGGTTTAACACCGGGAATGTAAATCCTTCTGTATAAGGTACTCTTACGGTTGTTACCACTGGTTGGAATCTTTGATATTTAGTTACAAGAGTCGATGTTTGATCCATGTTGTTGTTAATTCAGTTGTTCATTGGTGGTGGTGGTGGTGGTGACGGGGAAACCGGTGAAGGGATTTTGATACTATTTTTGGGTAATTCTGTTGACTTTTTTTCTTTGACTTGACATGATTTTTTTACCTGTGCAAGGACATTTTCTCCTTAAAAGCCAAATGGGTTTGGAAAGTGATGTTCTAAACGTGTTGTTGTTGTTGTTGTTAGGGTTGGGATTCGAAGGGTTTTTTATGTTAACTGAGATAGCACCTGCTGGGTGAGATAACAAACCTTATTGACTATTCCAACTAGCTTCTAGCTTCTGATGAAGCTGTAGGTGTTGCAGTATGGAAGGATCGAGCTCTATAGTTTCTGATGTTTGAATAACTATCTACTGTGGAACAAGCAGAGGAGTATCTTGTGTTATCTGGTATAACAATGTTCTCTGTTAATGTTTCATTGTTTACATTAACCATCACAGGTGAAACTCTGCTATTGTTATTGTTGTTACTGTTGTTCTCTCTTGATGGGGACTTTGCTTAGTAACAAGATTGACCCGGTTGCTCATAAATAAAAATATCAAAGACTTGCTTTTACAGCTACATTTTTCGCTAGGATTACACAAGTAACTCTTGGGATTTTCAGGTATATCCTACAAAGCACTGATACAGACACTGACACAGACACCAGATATACATGTATTACAAATGTTACCCTATTTAACATATCATATCATGATCATCTTATAGTTAGGTTGGTTCTCTTCTTTTTATATGCTGAAAAAACAGGTTAGGATTTTTGATTGATTTCCTATCCCATGCTGCTATTTTTGGTTTTATGGGAGGTGCTGCCATCACAATTGGCCTTCAACAGCTAAAGGGTTTCCTTGGCATTAAAAGAAAAATGTTCACAACAAAAACCGATATCGTCTTCGTGCTGCATTCAGTGTTCTCATCAGCCAAACATGGAGTATGATCTCTTTCTCTTTATCTCTCAATATGCACAAGAAAGTTATGAACTAAATAAGAAAATGAGAAATGCACTAAATTGATGCATGATCTAATATTTACCATCTTGCAGTGGAACTGGCACACTATATTAATCGGAGTTAGATGGTCATTGTCTAAGAAACTCATAGTCATTAAGAAACTATCCCTTTTTCACTCACTCCCAAGTAACCCTTTCTCTCTTTCTTCTTCAATAACATCTTTTTCACTAACTAATGTGTATTTGGTTTCGCATCGAAATCATACCAAGTACTGCAGATGCGAGTGGTTACGCGCTAGCCGTGATGCCATCGGCAAAAGGAATGGTTCCGGAGCACCATCCTCATTTTATCGGTACTTATTAGGGTGCTGCGAGTACTGCATTTTGTTCCGAGATTGTGGAATCCGCTGATGCGTACTTGTTTGTCGGTCCCATTTTCGACGACTACAGTTCTGTTGGGTATTCACTTCTTCTCAAAAAAGAGAAGGTGATTATCGTTCATCCCAACCAGGTTGTAATTGGTAATGAACCTGAAAACAACTATGCCTAAGATTTATGCTTAAGTTTTTACTTAATATATGAACTGCATACATGGTGTTTGGAATATTGTGTGAATGATAGTGATTTTGCATTTTCCAGGTGTACCTCTTCCTTTGATTGGAATGGTTGCGTATAGTTTTGTAGCTGCTCTTAGTCTTCAGTTAGCTACAAAGGAGAATTTACCTTTTGGGATTAACAAATCCAGTGCTCAATTAATGTTGCTTGGAAGCACAACCTCAATGGCAACTGCTGGTGCTTATTTTTTATACATTCTAACCACATCGTTCTCTGGATCATCTTGCTCATATTGTCTACTTTCGGTCCTCTTGTCATTTTCCTTATTTTTTATCACACTCAAGGTTTGCTATGTTAAAGCCTTTATTATCTTTCTTTTTTTTTTGGATTTCTTGTTTGTGTTGCTGCCTTATTGATACCCTTTTTGAAATTTCTGTTATAGGACATTGGATTGCAAGAGAAGTTTAAACAACTCGGTTTGCAGTTGTTTATTGCTAGCTTAGTGATTCTCACGCTGAACACCTCCTATAGCAGTGCAAAATCTGATGCCTCAAGGTGAATATTATATTGTATAGCACCTCGATAATGTTCAACCGCTGCAATTTGTTGTCTATTTTGTTTTATCTGAGATGTAGTACAATTGTGTTGCCACAGTTCTATTGGTGCTATTTCACAAGGTTGAACAAATTTTAGGTGGAAAAATAGTCTCTAATTGTCATTTTGATCTGTCTTTTGATGCCTATTTTGGGGTTGGGATAGTTTGTCCATTCAACTTATACATCCACTGAGTGCTTCTTGTCAATGTTTCCTTTATGCAGTATATATTCTGTTTTTCTTGTATGCTTTCAGTTTCATTCATGTTGACATTAGTAGAATGTATTTAATCTGGCGTGGAGCATTTTGCACAACCTTCATTTATATTTTATGCTACATTGTCAGTACACCATGAATCCAATCTTCAGGCCCTTCGAATTTCAAGTATAGGGTTTCATTACAAAAACAGGTCATACTTTATATTCATTAATGTTATGTTAAGCTGATCATTTTGGAATCGTCAAATGATATATTTAGCCATGAATTTCTGGACGGCTGTGATTTATACTGGATGTTAACAGTCCCACATTTTCTACTCATGGACGCATTTTAGTCTTTTTAATTTAGGACGGCACACCATGAATCCAATCTTGTTTTAAGAAATGTATTAATTGGTAATTATTCAATCTAGATTATATATAATATATGGCACTAAGCTGCACAACTATGTATCGACTCAAATTTCGTGGATATAATAGTCTTTTTCATTCAAATTGGCTTTAGAGCTCCTGTTTACTACCTAGAAATTTGAGTGTATTTTTCCATGAAGTGTTGTGAGTTAACTGTCTAGCATTTTCTTCTTTTTTTGATCGTTGTAAGTTAGCTTAGCCATAGATTATTAGTTGCCATTACCATAAATTCAGTCTTCTTTTAGCAATATAATTAATTTTTTTTATGCTGCATATATATGAACTGTGTTGTGCAACTTTATCATTTCTATGAAGCTATTATAATTTTGAAAAGAAATCTTACTATTTTAAACATAAATTTGAAAACTATATGGTGTTGAATTTAAAGTGGAAGCTTTGAACGAGCATGCACAACATTCTTATTTTATTCATGATTTTGAATTATGGAGATATGGCATTGCTCAATCATTTTCTTTTTCTTTGTTGTTACTTAATTGAATTGCTCAAATATAAATGCAGCTTACCTTGACCATGTTACACGTTCTACGCTTCACATCAAGTAAAAATGATCAAATGTTAAAAGATTTTCTAGTGCAGGTAAGTATTTTATATCGGTGGGATATGCAAAACTCAGGAATGATGTTTTTTTATCAGTGACTGACTATTGTCTTCACACAATTAAGTGATGATATGTCAAGTTATAATCAGAGTATGGACAATACATCACATGATAAATTTGGTTTTCTATGCGGAGATTGACCATGGAAGTTACCTTTGACAGATTTGGTTGAATAAACTAAATTTCTCTATAATTTTCTAAAAGCTACCTTAACAAATTTGACAGAATGACTTGATAATAGTAGTTATGTTTGTTTCTTATACAATTATATGCTATCATGCATTTGCATTTTCAGTTTTCCTCGGGATTATCCTAATTGCATGTTGAACATTGTATTTTCTGGGTCGTTCAAATAGCCTCTGATGGAGTTTTCTCTTGACTTAATTTTTGTTTTATTTTATTCATGTAAAGAAAGCTTCCATCCTTGAAGATTGGCTCAAGGAAATTTGCTCATCTATTGAGGACACAGTTGATGTTCAAGATAAATCCATTGCAGGCCGAAAGAAAGTAATGATATCCAGCGCAATACAATCATTGATAGAAGTATACAAAGAAAAACAACAGTATGCAATTGCTCAAAAGTTTGCGGAATTAAACAACAATATATGAAGGGGGTCTCTGCAGCCAATAGTCGTTTCCCAAATTCTCAGTAAACTTCATAATCAATCTATCGTTGCTACATTGTGAAATTGAAATTTTCATTTTAAAATTTGAGAACCCTTTTAGATGTATCATTGTATTGTATTTTTTTTATGGCTTGCTTGTTTATGTGATTGAGTTTACTTGATTGTGTAAATTAGGTTCTTCCTACCATTTTAACTTTGTGGTTAGCAGACAAATCTGGTTGCCGACTTCTACTTATTTTATGAATTCTAATGTCGTAAAATGCAAATGCCATATATATATATATATATATATATATATATATATATATATATATATATATATATATATATATATATATATATATATATATATATATATATATATACTAAAAGAATGATTTTGTGTAAAAAAAAGTGTACTGCAATAGCATTTTGAAATGAGAGTGCTATTAACGATACGTACTATAATAGCACTTTTATGAAAAAGTGCTATCTAATATGTATCTTATAATAGCGTTTTGTTTGAAAGTGCTATCAAAATTAAAGCAAATTACCGGTGCTATAATAACACTTTGTTTGAAAGTGCTATCTAATATGTCTCTTATAATAGCGCTTTTGAAAAAATGCTATTAAATACCGGTACTATAATAGCACTTTTGGAAAAACACTATTAATTACTAGTACTATAATAGCGCTTTTAAAGCGCTATCAATTTTTTTTTACAATAGCAGCTTGGTTAATAGCGCTTTTAAGCGCTATCAAAAAGCAAAAAAAACGCTATTAAATAGCTTTTTTGTAGTAGTGTTTGCTTGATAAATTTTCATAGCGTGTGTTTCCAGAGTAAGCTTAAGGAACAATTCGCCCGCACCAATCTTTGCACGTTAGATGCAAAATGGTTTATTGACGAGTTTCCTATAAGATACTTTGGAATCTTTAAAGAGAATTGCACAATCTCTTTAAGCGTATCTTTTGCTAGTATTTTATAGAAGAATGTTTCTTTTACTTGCTCTTATGCATTAGAGAATAGAAAGATGATTTAGAATGAGAAAATACTTTTGAGGCTAAATTTTTTTTCATGCTTTAATCAAATGCCAAGAACATCTCATTTATAATGAGATTCGCATATGTTTAGAAACAAAAAACACCTCTTAGATGTTTTGCACCGTTTTGGTTATAACGTATAAAAAGAGGTATTATACATTTTCAACATAAAAATATCATTGTTCAGGTGGTAAGTTGCATTTGTTCCTAAATAAAAGGTAACTAGTCATTTTTCATTTTAAGTTATTTATATTTAAATAAATAACAAAATTATTCAACTGACCATTCAATTCTTTAGATACAAAATTTGAATATAGTATTTATTTCATTATTTAAAATAATACAATCATCCAATATATTATTATTTTGGAAATTTTTCTCAAACATTTATATTAGGATCATAAAGGGGTCTTAACGAGTTGATTTAATGATATGATCATGCATCATACAAGTTGTGTCAAGAGGCATGTCTGCTAGTTCACATAGGGGACCAGTGGCTTGTCCCAAGCTTAAAACATGGGGCTTGGAGCTAAGAAGAGGGGGCTGATCGAACTGCAGTATAGCGACAAGAAGCAAAAGATTTGGAAGAATTCCCTCTGGTTTTTATCGTTCTCCACAGATATCGGTGCGAGGGAAAAAACACTGTTCAACAATCTATATGTTTCTAAGCTTGGTTTGGATGGTTTAAAAAAGTAAAAAGCGAAAAGCAAAACATGTGAACAAATAAAGAATACATTCTTTAGAGAGGAGAGAACTTGTCAGGAATTAAATTTCATCTATCCTATCAAATACTTAAATCTACTGATCAGTTGTACACAACTTAAATCGCTCATCAATATGATTATTACACATTTAATGATCTGACAAATTAGGGGGAAAAAGAGAATTGTAATGATTCAAATAGTACCTCAAACGATGCCTCACCAATGTGCACTCAACCGTTTCAGATTTGAGGTGACACATGTTTGATGTGATGTGCTTCTGAAGCTCTTTAGGAAATGAAACGTTAACTAGCGTTCAGATCCTCTGAAGCTTGTTAGTTCATATTTTCACACAATAAATAAAGTAACTAAAGAAATTACAGATGCGACACTTCAGAGTGTAGATTTTAAACATTTTTCATCTGAATAAATTTGCTTCTGAAGAAAATTTTTATTCTGGAAAAAAATCCGTACTAATATTTTTCAGAATAAATTTAAATCTATCTTCAGCAAGGGGTTTTGTAAAAATATCAGCCCATTGATGGTCTGTATCAACAAAATTTAAACTTAAAATTCCCTTCTGAATATAGTCTCTGATGAAGTGATGTTTAATTTCTATATGCTTTGCCTTAGAATGTAAAATAGGATTTTTAGAAAGACATATAGCAGAAGTGTTGTCACAGAAGATAGGAATGTTACTTTCATATATTTGATAGTCTTCCAGTTGACTTTTCATCCAGAGCATCTGTGTACTACAATCAGCAACAACAATATATTCTGCTTCTGTAGTTGATAGTGCTATTGTGGGTTACTTCTTGCTGTACCAAGAGATTATATGGCCTCCCAGAAACTGACAGCTTCCAGAGGTCCTTTTACGTTCAACTCTGTCTCCAGCATAATCAGCATCACAGAAGCCTACTAATTTATATTCATCAGATCTTCTGTAACACAAACCCATGTTAGTTGTACCTTTCAGATACCTCAGAATTCTCTTAACAGCTGTTAAGTGAGATTCTCTAGGATCTGATTAGAATCTAGCACATAGACAAACACTGAAAAGAATATCAGGCCTAGAAACAGTCAAATACATAAGAGAGCCAATCATACCTCTGTAGAGCTTCTGATCTACCTTTTTACTTACCTCTTCTTTTCCTAGAGTGTTAGTTGGATGCATTGGAGTCTTAACCAACTTACTTTATGTCATGTTAAACTTCTTTAGAAGCTCCTTCACATACTTTGTCTGATGTATGTAGGTGCTTTCTGGAGTTTGATTAACTTGAATTCTCAGAAAGAATCTGAGTTCTCCCATCATGCTCATTTCAAATTCTGCCTGCATAGATTGAGCAAACTCCTTTCCAAGCGTAATATTTGTTGTTCCAAAAATAATATCATCTACATAAATCTGAAAGACTAAAATGTCTTTCTTAATTGATTTATGAAAAAGAGTGGTGTTCACCTTTCCTCTGATGAAATTATTTTCCAGAAGAAAATTACTCAACCTTTCATACCAAGCTCTGGGAGCTTATTTTAGGCCATAGAGTGATTTCTTTAATTTAAAAACATGTTCTGGAAATTTTTCATTTTCAAAACCAGGAGGTTGATGAACATAAACTTCTTCTTCAATTAAGCCATTTAAGAAAGCACTTTTAACATCCATATGATACAGAGTGATGTTATTCTGTGCAGCAAAGGAAATTAACAAGCGAATAGATTCTAACCTTACCACAGGAGCATAAGTCTCTGTGTAATCAATACCTTCTTGCTGACTGTAGCCTTGAGCAACCAGTCTAGCTTTATTTATGATCACTTCTCCTTGCTTATTCAACTTATTTCTATAAACCCATTTCGTTCCAATAATATTAAATCCTTTTGGTCTTGGAACCAAATCCCAGACATCATTTCTTGTGAATTGGTTAAGCTCCTCTTGCATATCAAGTATCCAATCATTATCTTGCAGAGCTTCATCCACAGAGGTAGGTTCAATAATTGACACCAAACCAAACAATGATGTTCCAGATGATTTGAGAAAAGATCTTGTTCTGATGGGATCATCCTTCTTTCCAATAATCAATTCCTCTGGATGAGAAGATTTAATTCTGGAGGATCCTTTTAGAGTGGGTTCTTTAGAAATGGTTAAGTTGTCCAGCTGAGCAGCCAAAGGAGTAGCATCTGAAGTAGCTTCTGGTTCTTTTGCTTGATCTTTGTCTGCCTCTAATTCTTCAGAGTTTGTGAGAAGAACTTCTCTATCTGCAGAAATTTCAGACTGCTTTGGCTTTTGATTGCCAAGTTTATCATCAAATCTAACATGAATTGATTCTTCCACAATCTGTGTCTCAGTATTGTATACTCTGTAGCCTTTTGAGCATTCAGAATATCCAATCATAAAACATTTTTGTGCTTTAGAATCAAACTTGTTCTGATTGTCTTTAGTATTCAAAATAAAACAAACACATCCAAAAGGATGGAAATAAGAAATGTTGGGCTTTCTATTCCTCCATAATTCATAAGGAGTCTTCTCCAGAAGAGGTCTTACAGACACTCTATTCTAAATATAACACGCTGTATTGATTGCTTCTGCCCAAAAATGTTTAGCCAAATTAGTCTCATTGATCATGGTTCTGGCCATTTCTTGCAATGTTCTATTTTTTTCGTTCTACAACTCCATTATGTTGAGGAGTTCTAGGACAAGAAAAATCATGTGCAATGCCATTTTCTTTATAATATTTATCAAAAAATTAATTTTCAAATTCTCCACCATGATCACTTCTGACTTTGACAATTTTAAATTCTTTTTCGTTTTGGACTTGATTGAAGAAATCAAAGAATACAGAGTGAGACTCATCCTTGTGTTTCAGGAATTTTACCCATGTCCATATGTTGTAGTCATCAACGATGACAAGCCCATACTTCTTGCCTCTGATGGATGCAGTTTTCACTGGTCCAAACAGATCAATATGAAGAAGCTCTAATGGTCTAGAGGTAGAAACAACATTTTTAGATTTGAAAGAAGATTTTGAAAATTTTTCTTTCTGATATGCTTCACAAAGAGCATCTGAGTTGAACTTCAACTTAGGAAGTCCTCTGACCAGATTGAGTTTGTTAATCTGAGATATACGTCTCATGCTAACATGACCCAATCTTTTATGCCATACCCATTGCTCATC